GCTGTATAGATTTATCTAGTCTTAACAACTGTTTCATTGATTAAGTGATTGTAAAGCAAGAAGGCTTGTAGTTATTAACCTTTCATCTATCTCTGTGTAGTAAGATGCAACAGAAAAAACATTGTGACATATTTAAATTTATGTTCCACAAAGAACTGCTGAGCCTCAAATTCAAATACAGTTTTTTTTATTGTTACTCATTTAATGTTATGGTATTACATTAAAAACACATACTTACATTAAGATAAGTGGGTATTTCTTGATATTAAAATATTAAGTGATTAAAGGCATATAAAATTTATGAATTCAGAAAATAACTTCACATTGACTAAGAATTTGTGTAACAGATTATATTTAAAAAAAATAATAACTATTGAGTTATTTAAAATGATCACAACATTGCGTCTGGAATTTAAGCAATATCACACAAAAGTAATAAAAAAATTGTGAAACATATACAGGGTGTAAAACGACACTTAACGAAGACGTTAACTGCGCATACTGCAGTTCTAAATAAGTAGCTTTACGCTAAAATTATCACTGGGAAACGACTTTTATTTAAATTAAAAATGCATCTTTGACCTTCAATATCTCGAGAACCCGTGGAGTCCCAGCTATGGTCTGATAGAAAAAAAATATCCAAATAATGGGTACAATCTGTGTACCTGTACCTCTGTACCTGTATACATCACACTTTCGGCTTTAGGAAATAAGAGGCATAATGATAATGTCATTACCTTTAGTTTAGGGTCCAAACCATTCACACTCTTCTTGGGACGCAACAATGGTATTAGCTCATCACATAAAACTTCATACAATTCCCGAGTCACTCTATATTTGTATAAAAACTCCTGGTCCGAGATTTTGGCGGGATTAAACTTTGCCCGTAACTTACGGCGTTTCCGAGCACGTTCACAGTCATCATCCTCCTCTTCCAGGAGGGATGATCTTATAAAAAAATAGGAGAGTGCCATGTTCTGTAATTCTAGCTACTCTGAAACAATGATAATAGTGATTTTGTGGGTAATGGGCAAACGAATAGACAGTCATCAGATCACCTGATACTAAGGAATTTCTTACGCCAGTGGACACAAGCAACTCCAAGGGAATCGCGCGAGAATTAATTCATTATTGGTATGGATAATATTAAAAGGAGTATGTGGTTTCCTTGGTTTACCTGTTGCAAAGATTTACGAAGGCAAACCTGATAGTAAATTCGGCAATATATGTATAATTTGTACTTAAATAAAAAGCGATACATCGTGCTTCACCTTATCTGAATACAATTAACATAATGCGACATTACAACTTTGATGTTGCGGTAATTAAATTAAATATACCTTGTCTAAATAATGTCTTCCTTTAGATGTTTTAGATTTATGCAATAAAACCGGTTAAAGTAGAAAATACTGTCAACTGAGTGTTAGTAAATACAAATACTTGAACCTACCGTTATTCACTTATGAAAAAGATTACAGCTTTTGTTTCTGTAATAACAAACTCTCAAGCGATGGGCGTGGGCTTGCGGAGCTCACTGAACCTTATAAATAATTACTTGTTTCTTAAAATACACAATTAAATAATAAACTGTTTACAATTCGCGTTTCGCGTATTGTTGTGACGTTTGTAGGCAGACAATTTTTATCTGTCAACGTCAAAAATGAAACTGAAAGAAATATATTCGTTCGAAAAGCGTTTATCTGTAACACGTTCCGTTCACTGGCAATCGCGGCCCCGCATCGACGCGGGGTGAGGTGTACAATATTCATGCGCGATGCGCGGTGTCGTTCACGCACCGGTGCGGCCTTACATTTTAATAAATTCATAGATTCTTGGGATTTAGTCTGGCTATGTAAGTACATTGTACTCGAAGAAGCAATGCGCTTGAAGGAATATTTTAACTGGCAGCGAAGCTTGACTTGAACATTAGTCGTATGATTTAGGGAAGACTAATTTAAGTAGTTGTTTCAAAAGCAGTTGTTTTTTTAGTTTGCTGTCATAATTTTCTGAAAAACCACTCAATGAATGGCTCGCCTTTATATTAAACGATTTTTATTACAAAAACCGTTACGTAGACTTGGTTTTTCTCCTGTGTGTTGTGTTTTCGCATACACATGACAGTCATGACACCCAGACTCGTATGGTCCAGAACGGTGTGTGTGGATGTGTGTCTTGCACGTTATGGGGCAGCTGGTCCCTAGCCACCGCTTCATTTAAGGGAAAATTACAATGCTAATAAAACATTATGTAATTAATTATGAACGAGTATATCATATGTAGGCTTTTTTGTAATTAGAAAATAAAAAAAATTGCTCCCAGACGGGAGTGGGCGTGTCAGTCTCTTGCTGACAAAAAACTCCCCCGTTCCTTCTCCTGCTCTAGGCCGAAGCTGCGGCGCCTCTGCAACCCCAGCTAAATATCTGCCCCATATCTGCACCCCGTCTGTGGTTGCCTATTGGCTCTTTGAGGCGCGCCGTATGCTTGTGTCTGGTCTGGTCGAGCGGCGAGCTGATATGTAGAATGCGTGATGTCGTCGCCGTGACTCGCACGCTGTTCAGGAATATGAGTCATATTGTGACTTAAAGAGATTTTCTCAGTTAAGTCGTCTTTTAAATACAAAAACACATACTTACATAAAATATAGAATAATAACAGTAATTCTAAAAGAAGACGTGAATAAATAAGTCTTTCATGCATACGGTTACGAAATATCAATCCCTTCACATGTGAAACTAGTGTATTTAAATTTTTAAACATCCCACTATTCATCATCATCACCAGTCTATAAATTCCACTGCCGAGCAAAGGCCTCTTCTCATTCGTCGAAGGTTTGAGCATTAATCACCATTCACCACGCTTGCTAAAGACGGACTGGCGATTTCAACCTTAATAAAAAGTGCGGCTGCACGGCTGGCTGCGCACAACGTGTCGCTAGTTCGATTACCGCACGGAACACTCTTTGTGTGATACACAAATTGTTGTTCCGGGTCTGTGTGTGATGTGTATGTGAAATTGTATGTTTATAAACGCACCCACGACACAGGAGAAAACCATAGGCGGATCAACGTTAACAAAAGTCAAGGTTTCCTCACGATCTTTTCCTTCACTGTATGTCAGTGGTGTCTAAATAATCATAGAAAGTACATACAACTAAAAAAAGTCGCATTGGTACTTGCCAGGTTTCGAACCCTCATGTATGAAAAGCAGGCGACACACCATTACGATATCACTATCCTAATAGCTATAATAGGTTCTACATATGTAAGTTGAAAAGGCAGTAATAAAAAGGCTTTTGGTAAAAGAATGGTAACTACATCCCTCATACCATGTTACTTGCATCTGTCCCAAGGGAAATAACGGAGGAAGGGGGTGGATAATAACCTATTTCATTTTGCACCTGCGTCGTACGTTGCAATACTCCCATCGGCATCGATCGGTTGACATTTAATACGACCCTGAGTCTTGTATGTAGTATTTACTAACTAGATTTTTCTGCTAAAGAAATATTCGTCGTATGCTTTGACTAAAGTCTATTGGGCTACCTAGTGGTATGGATTTAGTTATATCTATACATATATGTATAAAAGAAAGTCGTGCTAGTTACACTATTTATAACTCGACAACGGCTAAACCTATGAGGTTTAGGTAGGGTGGTAACTAAGAACTGGAAGAAGGACATAGGATAGGGTAGGTAGGATAGGGTAGGTAAGGTAGTGTTAGTAGGGCACATAGTGTATGTAGGTAACTAGGTTGAGTAGTTTAGGTAGTAAAATGACGGGAGCGAGGCTGCGGGTAAGAGCTAGTACTTATATTATGAAGACAACACATCTGATATTCCTTGAGCGAGAGTCACATTAGATCCGCATTACCAATAAATGTGCGTAGTTTTTTATACGCTGCCAGAAAAGGGTGGATTCCATTGAACAGACGTTCAGTTTTCGCTACTTAATATCCCTTTTTCTCAGCTGTTGTCTATGGTGTGTATGTGGGGCGAATCTTGCCACTCAGCCCAGACTAGGCCTTTGATAATCTCCCAAACTGACGATCTGTGACAGTAAAATTTTGCTACCAGCGGTATACTGATGTATTTTTTTTAGGTATTTTCTACTGAGTTCTTTGAAACATTCAAGCGTCATATAATGGAATTTAAATGGAATGCCAAAATTGTTTTGTCCCTATTGTATATGTCGTATATAGAATTTTTAAGTTGTACAGCATTAGACAACTTTTGGACGACAAAATCAACATTTCCTTAGCCTTAGATCTTGCTAAAACCACGTTAACCGTGATTAATAAAACTTTTGTTCTTCTAAGGGCTGACTTTCAATGGTTAGATAACAGTTACCTGGGGAATAATTATGATGCTGTCGCGTCAGAATGTTTTTATAAGACAGTGACAGCAACAATTTTATTTCTGGGAAATCATTTATTGAAAAATCTGTCCTAAGAAATATTAATATAACAATAAGTAGGTACTTAGTTCTAGAACCTTATATTATGTAACCGCTATACTGAAAAGGCCACTCCAATTATATGTGCACTCTTTGCTTTTATTCTGCGTGGGACTTATATTCACCCTGTCTGTATTGATCAAAATGCGGGTGTTCTAGTTACTTAGTACTTATATTTGGAACCTAACAGACTTGCGCGGGATGCTGCGGTACCTTGTCATCTCCAGAGGGTATAAAACAAGTGCAAGGTCGGCCCTGCATCCAGTCGTGCCTCAGTTTTGGCTCTCGCCACGCACGCAAATTTTGTGCAGATTTTTTCGTTAGCATCATATCTTTTCAATTTCATTTTCGCATAATTGAATACTAGTTCAATAGAATCATGATTGTTTCAATAGGGTTTACGTCGGCAAATTCGAACATGAGGGTTCACAATATTTTTTGTGAAAAGAAAAGCATAGAAAAGGAATGGGCGTGGCGATACAAAAGAAAACGCCCGACCTGGCAGCTTAATTCTACACAATTTGAGGATGTGATAGAATAACACTATCGATGTTTCCAGAAAAAGAAAATAAAGATGGGAAATCGAAGCTGCCCCTCAAGAAGAGAATTGAGAAGACTATAAAGCAGGAAGATGGTTGCTCCGTCAAAGAAGAAAAACAATCGGTAAGTCTAAAAGGCTTAATCTTAATCCCTTTTTTGGCAAGATGGCAGATCCAGTTTGTTGATGAGCTATGCTGGTTTGTAATCAGTTCTAAGGTTGCAGGAACTAGTTCTTTAAAATTTGTATTATTAATTTGCCCGGAATTAGGGTTCTAGTTAATTTATGAATATATGAGAGTGAATGATGGCGATTAAAGGTATTATAGGGGAGGGGGTACAAAATTGGTGATAGAAGGATGATACAAGGGCAAAAATTGTAAGGATAGTAGATATCTATTCTCTAGTGATACTGGGGGAAAGGGGGCTACCTATTGTTTTTATGATAAAATAAATATAAAAGGTCGTACCTACGGATGTGGTGCTACATCCTCTCACAGATAGTACAGAGATACACTGAAGGGTAGAGCAAAGACTTCGTGGGGGTTCGGGAAATTGTAGGTAAGTTGATGGGTGAATGATGTAAATAATAAGATGATATGATATAATTATGTCTGGTTTGATGCTAGAAGGTCACGACAAGTGCAATATGTATAATTATTTTTTTGGAGACTACCATTGTTTCAATTGACTTTGTTTCAGGATGGCCCTGAACAAAATGACAAGCCGGCTGATAATATACCACCAAAGAGTAAGTTATACTGTTTTATTTTCCATGAGTATAAGCAGAAAATAGACAGGATACCCATAGCAGGGAGCAGTAGGCCTACTATAAAAGGTGTATAGCGCTATCCCTCTTTCTCGCCCGGAAGATTCACGCTTTCGCACACGTCATGGTAGGTCCTCACGTCATGGATGTTGATTGAGTCTATTAATACTCTTGTGGCCGATAAAGCCAATTCCAAAAGTTGTTGTGTGTGTTGTAGTTTAAGAACTATTTAAACGAAGAACCTCACTACAATTGCTATATAATGGCAATTTGTGCAGATTCTTCTGTGATAAAAATTGCAAAATGTATTTTGTCAGAAGATGCAAAATGTCAAGGTTGACTGAGGGCAAGCGCAATGAGACACCGAGGCCTTGGCCCAGAGCAAGTGAAGGAACGGGGGGTTTTTAGTCAGTAAGAGTCTGATACTCTCTCTCGCCTGGGCGGGAGAAGTCATGTGATGATTTTCCCCTGACAAAAAGAAAACTGGCGTAGCTGCATAAAGTTATACTATTTGTACAAAGTTACCACCTCACCAGCAGAAGCCAGATTCATGAACCTTCTCTTCTACAGTGGAAACCCCCCTGATGTACTCCTACGAGATCACAAAGAATATAGAGATTGTAACCATTGATGATGACGAGCGTCACAAAGAGTACTTGGAGACGCTGAAGTCTCGTCAGCATATGCGCCATGTCTGCGAGAACTGTGCTGTTGGCTTCGTATTAAAACAGGCTTATGATGACCACATGAAGGTGCATGCTCCCGTAAGTACTTTCAGGATATTTCAATTGTAGACCAGAAAGCTAGGACATCCTATTAGTGTCTGTGCTCCTGTGGTTTTTTTCTTACTGGATAGGTTGGCAAATGAGCAGACGGATTACCTGATGGTAAGAAATCGACGCCGCTCATAGACACCCACAACACCAAAGGAGTTATCAGTGCGTTGCTTGCCTTTTGGAGATAAGGGTTTCGGATATTTAGGGATTGGGAAGGGATGAGGAGGGGGGGATTGGGCCTAACTAATTACTAATGTCCTAGGTAACCACATTTCCGCTCATTTTATAATTAGGATTATTTGAGAGGTAATATGTCGAATTATGATTATCTAGCTTCTGTCTCACGGTTTCACTCGCTGCTCGGCTACTACAAATCGTAGCGTGATGTTTTATACGTTACGTTTTTATGAACTAAAAGCTTTGCTCGATAAATGTAACAAACACAAAAAGAATAATTCAATTCGAAACAGTAGTTCTGGAGATTAGCGCGTTCAAACAATAAACAAACTCTCCAGTTTTATAATATTAGTATAGATTATTATATTTGTGCCTTCTGATCATCGCAAACTTTTTATCCTAGGAATCAGGCGAACATGAATGCGTGATCTGCCATTCTCGTCTGAAGACGGCAGACATGCTTTACAGGCATCGGTTACGGCATTACCGCCGGTACCGGTGTCTCCTCTGCAGGATGCGGTTCAAGGATAAGGACACGGCAGCTTGCCACGTCATGAATGACCATATCGGTCAGACTTTTGAGTGTGATCGATGTGGGAGAGGATTCAAGTAAGTAGTTTTTTTGGCAGCATTTCCGTCTTTGCTGAATCAAGCTGGTTGATCATTATCATCATCGTTGACAGCTTCTACTATCAACTATTTTTTTCTGATGTTGTTGGATTCGTTTGATTCACTAACAAGAGGTACATATTAAAGAATATCTGAATATTTACCATGTGTTGGACATGGCCTGAAAGTTATTAAAATGAGGAGACCTTGTTTTACGCGTGAACCAGACTATCTTCAATAATCTATATGTACAACTGTCGGATCTAGATCTTATCTTAATTGGCCGTTGTTATTTTTTACTGGTTAGTCCGTAAATTTGATTGTAAATTGTCGTTGGGTGGCTGCAGGCGACCCCAATACCTGAAGAGGCATGTGGAGCAGTATCACACGAAGCCACATCGCCTGGAGTGCGCCGTTTGTCTTCGTGTCTTCCACGAGCGCGGCTGGTACAGGTCTCACATCAGGTGAGGAAGTTTCTTACTTTCAGGGTGTCCTGAGTAAGCCTCGAATATAATGCGACGCAACCGATCAAATCAAATAACTTATGTATTTCTTTTGGGGACCTACATTCCTACGAAACGAAATTTTGTAGTTTCGTTAACATGGGAGAGCCATGCATAGACCCTAATGGGCCGGCTCGATCGAAGCGATACCACATAATACACGTGAAACAACCGAGGTTTAGGAGGCCCAATCCTTCTCCCGTCTTCAAATCCCCTATCCCTAAAACGCCGGCAGCAAACTTGTTACTCCTCTGATATTACAGATGTCTTGTCTTGTAAAGATACGTGAGAGAGCCATACTTTAATACAAATGGGCCAGCTCAACCGAAGCGATGCCACGGCCTCACATTACCATAAAAAATAAATACTGTTTGTGACAGGTTTTTAGACTTTTTGTTGCGGAGTTGTAGTAGGCATCCCGAAGAATTGTAGGATTATAGTGTCTTATGTAGTAAGCAGTGACACAGTTTTTTTGAACTCGACAATATAAAGCTGTATTGTATTTACTGGTTGAAATCACGTAGAACACCTCGTTGCATAGTTCAATGTCGCGTCGCCGTGCCTTGTATTCATCGGTCACACAGGACGCCCTGTAAATACTCGTTTATTAATAAATACAACACTGGGAATGTCATGTACCTCAAAAAAAGGTTTATTTTTTCTTTTCTTCTTTGTGTTGTTGTTCAACAATATTATTATACGACGTAATTTATTTTTCCAACGTCGCGTACCCAAATGTTATATACGGCTTAATCACTGACTGTATTACATCGTGGGTTCGATTCCCGCACAGAAAACTCCTTTGTGTAAACTACAAATAAGTATTATTGGCTATGTGCGCGACGGTGGCGACGCGTAGCGTTTACAACATTTGCGAAAGCTGTCAAAAAATTATATAAACATTATAAATTATAAATAAATAAATAAAAAAAAAGTTTATTTTAGAAACATGTACAAAACTTTTACAGTTAATCTTACATAGGGACCTCCTTTTAAGTAAAAGATGTACCTGTGATAGGAGGCCCCGCTCTTCAATGCCTTCTATAAGCGATAAAAAGTTGTGCACAAAATAACATAAAAAAAAATTAAAAATTAAATGAAAATGAAAGGCAAGAAAACAAATCAAATCTCCAAACCGTGGCAAATTAAAACGGCAAAAGAAAAGCAAAATGCTTAGATTTTTATTTATTTATTTATTTATTTATGCTTTATTGTACACAATGAAATGAAGTTACTACAAAAGGCGGACTTAATGCCATATGGCATTCTCTGGTAGAGAATGCCATATGGCATTAAGTCCGCCGTCAACCTTTGGGTCAAATGGAAAATCTGCGAAAAATAGGTACGAGACATATGTTTATACGAATTTAATAGAATAAAATATTAAAAGACAATACTATATAGATACAATCTAAAAATGATAAGATAATACATACTATATATGTATATAGAATGTTACATATTACGAACAATTAAATATGTATATATATGCCTACTGTATAAATGTATATAAACAAATAAAACATATTGACGAAAAACCTTAGATATCAGCATTGCAACGATTTAAATAAAGTTTATAAACCTCACGCTTAAAAGTAATTTTGTTTGGAGCCTTTTTAATTTCGGGAGGTAGCTTATTCCATAGCTTAATTGCACCAACCGCGAAAGAATTTGAAAGATTTTGCTTTTCTTTTGCAAATAAAATTGCTTTGCAAATATAAATTAAAACAAAATTAAAATAGTATTGTTGACATTATTTAAGTGCAATTTATTCAACAGCTTTACTGTAAAATGGATATAATAATAATAATCGAAAGCTGATCATCCGCATTTGTTTCAAATTTCTGCCGTGTTGTGCGCTGCGGTCGTTATCTGTCCGCCACTACTCGCTTTGCACATAGCCAATAGTAAAAATGTTGCGGGTTATCGTGCGGGGTCGGTGTATGTCAACTCTTATGTTTACGACAGAAGAAAGTTTTAGGCTTTCAAAGACAAGAAACTAAAACACCGCGCTTTGAAGAAGACGCAAATACATCAAGAACGTAAATACTGAATTAAAAGTTAATAAGGCTTTAAGGTAGACCGAAATTTAAATTGTCTTGCGTTTTTTACAAGTTTTAGGTCAATATTTCTCTGTAGAATGAAGACGCAGTGTTGCCATCAAGAACGCAAATAAATACTCAGCTAAAAGTAGTTAAGACTTCAAGGTAGCCCGAAATTAAAATTTTCTTGCGTTTTTTACAAGTTATAGTTCAATATTAGATAGAACTATGATAGTATATAGATACGGTGATCGCAAAAAAATATAATGTTTTCACACAAGTACATTTCACAAAACTACCAACATATTTCTGTGGTTTAAGAAAAACCTACAACATGAAGTTTTATTACTTCAAAAGGTACATTTGCCACCTATTCGTGCCAGCTATGCTATTCTCAAAAGTTATTTTGCGAAATCACTTCTGAATCCGCGGTTAAAATAATGTTCATTTAAAGTTTCATATTCTCAAAACGAGTAAAATCTACATTAGCGCCACCATGTGGGTAACGAAGTGAAAGAAACTAAAACAAGTGAGTATTTTGACGTTTGTGTAGAGGCGAGATGAGAAGCGAAGTGGTGTACTTATGACTTTCCAGATGAGATTAACAATTTGCAGAATAGAACTGCTTCTCTTAATTGTGGAGATATGCGGTGGTTTTAATAAGGAAAGGATAGTTGTGTATGTATGTATGTATGTGTCTTACTATATTTTTTTCCGATAATGAGTTGCAAATTGCAAGAAACGTAAGAAAATTTCAGTTTCGCTTACTATATTGAAGTATCCCTTTTATAACTCGACTGTCATACTTGTGTGAGGGTGTGGAATACGAATTAGACTGTTGGCCGTTTCAGTGAAAAGAATGTTTTTTGTCAGCATTGTGGTTATACATTTTAGTGATTCATTTTGTTACGTAAGTACGGTACGGTTAGTACATTATTTTAGTATGATGCGGTGAATAAGTTGATTTATATTTTATTTCATGTGTATAATTTATCGTCTTGTTTTTGGTAAGTTCAATGAATTCTCAAAAAGATCCACTCTACTGCTACATACCTAAAAATGTATACCTTTTAGACTTTGACACTTGTTAAATAGCAAATTTTATACCTAGATGGCGCTGTTGTTGCTGCCGTAGATGACGCAATTTGTTTTGGTGATGACTCTAGAGTTTTTGAACTAAATATTTGGATTTAGATGTTCACCAAAACAAAAATAATGCACTTTTATTCATTTTTGGAACCGCGAACTGCGGGCTCTTTGCCTTGAAGAACAGTCGACGTATCATTTATTTTATTTGGTGCTTTTGATTTTTCTAGTTCTGTTCTATTACATTTACTGACTAGGAGACTATTCAAGAGTAACTGAAAAAAAAAACTATAATAATATGTCAATTGACTTTGACACTTCTTCAATATCTTATATCTAGTCCAGATGGCGGGTCGATCGCTGTCATTAGGTGGCGCGAATTCAATGATCGCCATTTTGTATAACACCAATACGTATAAACATAGTACACGTGTAATAATAGGTCTTTACCTATGAAATTGCCGTTCTGCAGTACTGGCCATTTGAAATCAAAATAGTTTTTGTTAGGCTAACACCCGGTTTCTGAAAGGCTTGTCAACGCTAAAATTAACTAATCTCCTGTCAAATCTCTTGTCAAGTCATCTGATTGGTTGGTGATAATTCAGTGAACCAATCAGATGTCTTGACAATAGATTAAATTGATTTTAACATTGATCGGCCTTTCGGAAACCGGGGGTTAGGCTAATTAATTTTGTTTTAAAAACATGGGATTCTTTTTCCAAAAGTAGTCATTTGTTTATTAATTAGTGTTACATTTTCGTCGCATTTCAAATCAAAAAATTCGTTTAATTTTTTTTCATGCAAAACGGCAATTTCATAGGTAGAGACCAGTTACTACGTTCTAGTATAACACGTGGGCTTTTTCAGCAAGTTTTCTTATATCAACATTTTACAGTAGTGTGAATATTTATGAAAGTATTTGAATACTTAGTATTCAAATTGCCAAAATCGAGGCTTTGTCTTCATTTACGTATTGTTTGTTTTCTTTTGCTTTAAGTGGTATACTTAAGGTTTAGGACTTAAGGTTTTTCGTATTGAAAGAAGTCGGTTAAAGAAATGTGTGAGACTATTATTGATGCTGTAATTATTACTAATTATATTCATCAATGTTGCATTACCTTTGATGTATTTAATTTTATTCTCCTGTTTCAGTGAAGTTCATTCTACGGGTGTTTGAGAGAATTTCGGAAGCCTTTAATTTTAGATGAAAATAAAAACTTAAAATAAATAGAATTGAATTTCTTAATTATTGTGACGTTTTCAAAATTTTCAGGCTTCATCTTTTTCTCATAGCAACCGGATAATCGCACCCAGCTACATCGTTGCCACAGCATCTCTTATACCCCTTTGAAGGTACTTACTAATCATCAATCAACAGGAGATTAATTTCTATTGCAATCAATTTAGGACGCACAACGAGGAAGTTAAGGCGAAGACGGTGAAGTTGCCCGCCACGTGCACCATCTGTTCGCGCGACTACAAAACTAAATCGAGTTTAAAGCGCCATCTATTGACGCACGACCATAACTCTTACTGTCGAATATGTTTCGTCAAGTGTAAGAACAGGAGCACGCTTGGCGAACATTATTTAAAGGAACACAATGAAAAATATCAAGGGTGAGTTCTTTTAATATTTATTTAGGCTACGTCTTACATAAATGATCCAGTTGTTGCCGACCCTAAAGCCTCCAGACGTGTATCAACTGAGCTGGGTGGTTCTGTTCAAGCTCCGAACTTGCGATCGAGAAAAGTATTAATATTCCCTCTCCCCGATATATCGCCCAATATTCTAATGCCCTGGTATGCATATTAGCTTCATGGTATAAAACTGTAAAATTATGTCCCACTTATGTAACTGCAATTAATACATAAAATCGTTTTTCTTTTCGTTTCTTTATCTTTTAAATGAGGTATTAAAGTTCGAACTGTCAAAATACCTATATTTCACAGGGTAGCGGAGGAGACGTGCCCGCACTGTGAGCGGGTGTGTGTGACTCGAGCGATGTTGAAGCGGCATATACAACGCATGCACGCCGACAGAACTAAAAAGTGTGTAATATTTACAACAAATTATTTTTACACATACTTATACACTATGCCAACCTGTTAGAGAGACCTATGTCCAGCACTAAACGGAAATAACTCCATGACGTGATGAACACCCGTCTGGTCGCTGAATCCTCCCTTTTCAATGATTAAAAAATAATTTTTCACCGGCAGAATTCCGAAACTGACCTTCAAATATTCGTGAAAAGAGTGTAAAAGCCTTTTCAAAAGTAGAAAACTTCTCTGCCTCCGACCATAATCGTTTACCATCTAGTAACACACAATTCGTATGTTTCTCATAGCTATTTCAACTATATCAAATCTTTGCTTAGGTACCAATGTGATCACTGTCAACGTCTCTACCTGACTAAGGGCGAGGTTCGTGCTCACATAATGTGGTCTCACATGCCAGCTGAGATCCGAGGCGGCCATGCCTGTCCCTGTGGCAGGATCTTCCGAAGCCCCTCGTTACTCCGCAGCCACAAAGCCAGGTTCCATGACTCCCAGCCACCGCCCAGAGTACATCAGTGTGATCACTGCGAAAAAGCTTTTGCGGTAAGATTTTCTTTTGTGTCGACGACATGTTATGCTTTGTGAAATGTTGCCTTACACAAAGGTAAGTGGGAGAGCCAAGCTTCGGCACGAATGAGTCGGCTCGACCGGAGTGATACCACGGCCTCACAGAAAACCGACGTGAAACAACCACAATGTTGTGTTTCGCCGTGTAAGTGAGGTTACTGGAGGCCCAAAAGTCTCCAAAAGGCGGTCAACGCACTCCTTTGGTGTTGCGAAAAAAAACAACAACCCTCCACATCATCGCAAGTGTGAAAATCCATCATCAATGAAACAATGAATTTATTTTTGCAAATAGGCCATAAAACGGCACTTTTACACGTCAATTTATATGTGAAAAACTAGATGAAGCATCATCATCAAGCATCATGGTGGTCACCCATCGAATTCCAGGGCCGTGGAGATTCGCCTCTAGTCCGCGGTCCTGGAATTCGCTCGCTGACTGTCATGAGTTTTTTGGAGGATATCGGATGTTCAGTGATGAGTTGGTAAGAATATGACATTCTTATTAGGATGTATTAGGTATTTTTTTTGTAGGTAATAAAACCTAATTTATAATACCGCCATCTATGAGTCCACTCAAAGTAACTCCATCTTCAGGTGAATAGATACGTTTCCAATCTTTCTTTAAGACCTTTATACCGGTACTGATAAAAATTTCCATCCACAGAACAAGCAAGTCCTAAACCGCCACAAGAAGAGTCATTCCAACGAGATGTACCCCTGCAAGGAATGTGGCTTACTCTTCAAAACGCAGCCCTATGTAAAAGTGCACTATCAGCTCAAACACCTCAACATGACAAGAGCAGAAATCAAAGCCCAAAGGAAATTGAACAAGGAAAAGATTATACAGAACAATATCCACAACACCCTCAATTGGGAACCGATTATGACCAGCAGAAAAGATATTGTACCTGCTGTTGAGGAGACAGATCCTCTTCTACTTGAGGATAATGATGGTGATTCTAAGATTGCAGAGAAAATTGAGATTGAAGTCCCACAGTTTGAAACTTTCATTGATATTCGAAGGGAGTAAGGAGGCGGTTAGGCAATATTGTCAGTCCCTCTAATTAAATGGTACTCGAATAAAACAGAAAAGTCGATGTAATGTCGGAATTTACTTACTTCTCGTGAAAGGCCATAAACATATCGGTTTCATACATTTACTAAACTTATTTGTACGTTTGGTCAAACTTATGAAGCCGACGCGTTAAAGCGCATCACGATAACGATACGCATTCCTATTTGTAATTGTGGAAGAGACATAATGGTTAAATCCCACATTTGTACGCCATGTTTCCATTTGGAATGAAGCTACCGTTTATTTTCACTAGATGGCGCTATTGTAATTTTTTTTAGATATTGACACATCTAAAAATGTTTGTTTCATTCAGCCATTTGGTCAGAAAAATGTGGATAACCGGGAATGTTTTCAGTATAGATTTTGAGGTGCGCTTTACGAACGAATATTTTTCTAACGACGAAAAAAAAGAAAAATGATGTGAGATTTTTTAGCCCATTTTCCGATTAAGACAGTGTGATAACATTGACTTTTTTGCTGGATTTGGCTACCATTAAATGCAATTTTGTAATTTCCCAATTCGATTTTGAGTTTAGTTGTTGAGTCCTATTCGGTATTTCCAATTACTTTGAACTATAAAATTGTTTGCAATAAAATATTAAACAATATTGCTATATTGTTAAACAATTAATAATAAGTTTCTAATTTCCTGTAAATGTTAATATATTATTTATCTTGCGTCAGACAAAACTTAGCTTAGAATGGACACATTTTTCATTAACAATTTTATTTTTCAAAAGTAATTCGATAACTAAATAGGACTAAGCTAAGCTAGGCTACACTAGATAAAAAAAAGTTTCGCTGCTATTATTGATAAAGAAAAAATTGACTTTCAAATATTAGTCGTAACGTCGAGTGTTGTAGTTCAAATGTTAAATAACCTTACATATTGGGAGTCACATTTTTAAAGTCTTTTTAATTTGTGACTTTATAGGTCATGTAATAAAGTTCAATTGAGTACTTGGCAACAAGTCAAAAAATACTTTTTCTTATTGTCAAAATATAGGAACACTTGAGCCCGCCAGTCACCATCACTGCCTGGTTGGAAGATCCTCCTTTTTCGATATAAGGGAACTTTTTCGGTTTCCTTAACTACTTTAAGTATTAAGTAGCATTAAAATTCAGTATAATTTATTTTTGACTATGATGTATGCCAAGTTCTCAATTCTGAATAGCTTTTTCCATGCTATACAGGGCGAATGTTTCTTGCCAAAATGCAGCAATACATTTAGGAATTTCATGTGAATGTCTAAAAGTAATTAATTAGGCTTAATAAATTCTAGATCTCTTATTAACCCTACATCTCAATGATACGAGTCTATTTTACAATTTGTTAGTATTTTAGGACTTGTCTGGATACTTGGAAGTTATTTTTATTTACATCGTTAGAAGGTTTATTTTGCAATTGCATTGGTTATAGTTACATATTTTTAAAGAATAGACGGACGAAATCGTGTGGTTTGAAAAATCTTAATAAAAACACGCATTTTATTTAGTGCAATATTAAAATATATTTACATATTTAATTCGATATGACATAAAAATTAATTATTATGTTTTCGGTTTAAGCACGTTATTGTTTAGACGAGATACTCGACTAGTTTCAAGCCATGCTAAGGGCCCATATTCATGAGCAGCATTCCGCGACACGCGACGCGGCGACTGTCGCGCTACGAATATGGGCCTCTAGTATGGCTTGAAACTAATCGAGTACAAGGACAACAGTTGGTTGTGGGTGCAAGTTCAATGTTTTTCCGCGGCCCCAGTCCGGAAAAAGACAAACCGGGTGGTTTTTAGTCAGTAAGAATCTGACACTCCTTCGCGCCTTACCCAGGTCGAGAGAAGCCATTTAATGATTTCGGTCTCACAAAAAGAGAATTACAGTTACGTACAATACGTATTACTTCTACTTTGATAATAGAATGACTTCTTCTTCTGACTTCTGGTCTAATTGAACAAAAAACAGCTTTTGAAAGGTCTTACCGCATCTGAAAATAATGATTCGATAATATTTTCAAAATGCAGTGATATTTTCGTGACCAACTTAAATAATATATGTGCAGTTTACTCAATTGTCTAATAAATTTATGGATGGTAACCACCGTCTATTTACGAACTACACTGGGGCCCTTAACCATGAGCTGTGTATGCAGAAAATCAAGTCCTATACCAAGAGGCGGAGCTCACCAAAAGCGTGAAAAAGCAAGCGTGTTAATCGTGTCACCGGTACCACAGAGAGAAGAAACTGCATGCGGTTTGCGGCAAAGCTTGTTGCAACAGCAGCTCATGATTCAAGGCCCCAAGTGTAGCTTGAAAATATTCGGAGACACCTTTTTTTTTTTATTGGTCAGGAAGTAACATTCCCGCCCTGGGTGGGAGAAGGTCAGGCTGATTAAAAACCACTCCGTTTCCTCTTCTGCGGCTGAAGTCCGAAGCCGCGGTACCTTATTTAGCTTTTTTTAAGGTTAGATTTTTTTATTAACGTTTGGCCCGCTCTAAAACGCTCTTCCACGTACCTACACAATTAAGTAGAATTGACTTTCTCCTCAGTGTCTTGTCTTAATAAAAGGAATCTGTGTTTCCTGAGGGCGGATAATTTAGGCGTCTTTAAGGCCCCAGTGAATAGTGTAGGCCTGTTTTGTCGTAGTCGCATCAACGCTGACCACCAGGCGAGGCAGCGACTAAACGCCAGCCAAAAAAAGCTTAAGTTTAATCGTAATCGGGATATAATAATAGGTCTTTACCTATGAAATTGCCATTTTGCATGAAAATGTAACTCTAATCAATAAACAAATTACTTCTTTTGGAAAAAGAATCCCAAGTGTTTAAAACAAAATTAATTAGCCTTAGCCTAACAAAAACTACTTATTTTGATTTGAAATGGCCAGTACTGCAGAACGGCAATTTCATAGGTAAAGACCTATTTATTATTTAACGGCTTTATCAATTATTTAAAAATATGATGTGATGCGTTATACACTCGCAGATTATATTTTAGATAAAACCGTTTTTAATATTGGCGTACTTAAGTACAAGTTTGCCTTTAAGGTGTAAAAGATCTGATTTTATTTATGATAAAAAGTAGGTACCTACACAATATTTTTTATTTTATTGTTATATTTGAAAGTATCCAGACATCTTCGCAATAGTGTTCCTATTAGTAGTAGTGCTTTTAAATTTATTTGTTAATTAATGAATTGTTATTTAGTGATCTCTTAGTAATGGAGAAGATTATTGTTTTTTTTATTTATTAAAATAAATGAAAATGTGTAAATGTGTTTACTGGGTTTTATTTTTACACCCTGAAGTAAAGATCGAATGGAGCCGTGGTATGCTGGTGACTCCTAACCGGCCTATTCTATCTCAAGGTCACTGGGGGAGGCCTTTTTTTGTGAAGGGAAAATCATCAAATGACTACTCCCGCCCAAGGCCGGCCGGGAGGGAGTGTCAGCTTCTTACTGACTAAAAACCCCCCTGTTCCTTCTCCTGCTCTGGGCCGAGGTCGCGGTGCCTCTTTGCGCTTACCCCGCAACCCCGGCTGAGGGAGGCCTAAGTTCAACAGTTGAAATTTTAGTTATCTATAAGTAGCTGATATGATTTTAAGTGTGGGAGAGACATGCTCCGGCATTAATGGGTTGGCTCGACCGTAGTGACACCACGGCCTCACAGAAAACCGGCGTGAAAAACACTTGCGTTGGATTTCGCCACGTTAGTGAGGTTACTGAAGACCCAATCCTTACCCCCCATCCTCAATTCCTTTATCCTTAAAATCCTCGTAACCCATTAGAGGTCTGACTGCACGGTTGGCGCAGTGGCTGGGCAACTGGCGGGTTCGATTCTCGCACGGAACAACACTTTGTGTGATGCACAAATCGTTGTTTCGGATCTGGGTGTGTTGTGTATGCGAATTTCTATATTTGTAACCCACGACACAGGAGAAAAATTTAGTGTGGGGCAATGTTAAAAAAAATGGTCGGCAACGCACTTGTGGACTACAACGTTATTTGGTATTACGAGTGGCCATGGGCGGCGCTGATTCTGCTTACCACCAAGTCTGCTCGTTTACCTATGACATTGTGAAATATCATTGTATAAATATTACCAACTAGTTACCGAAACTCAAAAGAGAGACCTTAACTTTTCAACATCGGCATTTTGCAAAACCTTCGAAAATTGATTGAAATCTGTAGTATTGACATAGCTTGATTTGTTTGCGTAACAAGTGGGTCTGTCGAACAAGGACGTTTGGGTTCAATTCCTAGATTGGACAAGGCAAGTTATTTAAGGTGTAAAATAAAACAAGTACATTATAAAGCTTTTGTTATTATTAAGTTAACAACAATAACATAGTTACCTAAGTAAAAATAATATAATAACATTACTTATTTAACGGAAGAATGTAGCTAGAGCTACTTACTTTTGTTATTTTAACGATAAGTAAGAATATAAAGCTTAAGAATTTGTTATGGTGGATGTTTGTCATTTTCAGTTTTATTTCATTTTGAGTGCGTTTGGAACAACATTATCGCAGAAATATTAGGGCGGTAAACTGACTTTAGACTTACAAAAAAAAAACAGTAAAATCCTATTTGTTTCGCCATACATTACAAAAATAACATCTAACTCCTAGCTCTGCATATACCTATAAAGTATCGTTTACACACATAGACGTGATCGACAACTTTAAAATCCAAACCACTAGATGGCGTGCATTTAATATTTATTGGGGTGTGTTCTGTAGAAATATAATTAGGTATGTCTAGGCAAGGTGGAGTATACAAGCCCCGATGCAAAATAGTTCGTTTAGTGTGAAGTTTTCTGTGAGATCTTTTACTCAACTCTTTTTGTATGTGTATATAAATAACTAGTTGCTGTCGTGCGGTTTCACCCGCTGCTCGACTCCTAAAGCTAACAGCCATAAAAAACCTACTTGACACCGATAGAAAACCTACGGTAGAAAGTCAAAGTAGATTTTACCGTGTCCGTTACCCAGGCCAGATGTTGTCGACAATGGTCATTTGAATCTTATAGATAATTAGTTGTGCGGCTTCTGTAATTGTTGCGCACATTTTTAAATTTGTTGCGCTTATAGTTTTTTAATTATTTCACAAAAAAATTTCCTGCTGGCGTAACGTTACCACAGCCAGACCTTTTTCTTTCTAATGGGAATATTTAAATAAATATTAGCTATAAAATTAGTTGTCTAGATAAAGTAAATGTTGTGCCTTATTTTGTATTTGTTCTTTCTTCGGTTGCGAAGTTATTCGAGATTTTGCTGCGGTAACG